AGCAAAGAGAGACTCTTTAACTGAGCAGCTTTTCTCCAATGCACACTACAGAGCAGTTAAAGTGAATTCATGGTGTGTGAAACTGATCGAACACTAGATAAACAAATAGACGAAACCTGGCACACACATAACCTAGCATGGGTTCTGATCATCAGACTGGGGCTGGAGCGTGGTGACAGCGCCCGGGCAGCACTGACGGTGATCACCAGCCTCCTGGAGCAGCATGGCCAGGGCGGGCAGTGCAGGGAAGCTCCCGAACCCTTCAGCTACCACAACACCTTCCTCCTTGTGGACCGCAGTGAGGCTTGGGTGCTGGAGACAGCCGGGAGGCTTTGGGTGGCACAGAAAGTCTCAGGTAAGGACCAAGGGTTGAAAAGACTAAAGAAGTAACAACTGTGAGCCAAAAGTTCAGGCCTCACGTTGCTCTGGCTTAAAGGGGGAGGTGCTAAAAGAGTTTGTTTCTGTGCACTCACTGCAGTATAGTGTGGCAGCCAAAAGTTACCTTATATGGATCAAAGGGATCATCCCGCTAATTTATCAGCTAATGCTAGTCAGTGTGATTAGTAAGCTACATTCACAGACTGTATGGGTCCAATGTAAGGAGACACCTATCGGATAATTAGTGCAGTAACATACTAATAAGAACAAATGCCAAAGTACAAATGTCTTGGAGGTCTGTACCACACAGTTGTTGCCATACTGTTGGTCAGATAATCCATTCAGGTCTCTATCAGGGCACCTGTTCATCAATCCAACCACGTCCCCAATATAGGTATCCAAGTAGATGAGTTTAAAAAAAATTCACCCCACTCAGTGTTGATATGAAGGGCTGATCATCCACAGAGCTCAAAATTACTGAATGTGCTTCATTTATAACCACATCCAGCTTTTTTCCCCGGTTGTTATAATTGAAGCAAAGATTTTGTGTTTGAAAGCAGGTGCGATTACTTAGTAACAGTCGTAACAAGGACGAGGATGTCTTTAAAAGTTCATGGTGTGCATGCACGAACATCTCCTTAGTGATATTTTTATAAAGCCTCTTATTGCATGCTTGCTTAAAGCAG